CTAAGCGACTAGATCGCCCGCAGCGGATTTCCCTAAACGGTATTAGTGGGGCATTAATAATCACTCCTACATTGGCGTCTGCAGATTTTGCAGGCAGAATCGCCATTAGGCCCAGGAAAACCGGGTGGGTAACTTGGTCGAAAATTCTTTGGAGTTTTGAATTGTTTTTATTTCATCCCTGACCATGCAGACTACTGCGCCCCCGAAAGGGTTCCCAGTGACTCCTTCTCTACCTACATTTCCTCAAGGGCGGACTAGTTTAAGCGTGGTGACTGAAGGAAGGGTGTAGTGAACTTCTTCACGGATGGACCAACACCTTGAGACAGGGTTGGTGGAGGTGAATTTAGCCGGGAGCTCTCCTTCAAAACTATGTTCAGGCTTCCGAACTTCTGCATTTTCTTTGAGGCCAAAGTAGCTACTCACTGCTTATGAGAGTGACGTCAGTTAGGGAGGTTAGTAAGTATATACATACATACTCTAACAGAAAGGCGGCTATCACAGCCGAGAATGATATGAGGGTCCGCTCGAAATTGGTCAGGGAATGTCTGACCTCGCTATCAACCGCGTATTTCTAATCAGGCTAATTTGGGTGCCGGGCCACAGTAACATTGTGCGAAACTTTGTGAGTTATGACTTGGCAAGGAAAGTCACCCTTGAAACATTATCACCGGACAGGGAGCAGCGGGGGCGCCTCTATCATCCTGTGGTAAAAACTAGTACACGCGTATTTGCAACATTCTTCTGGCCTAGAGTGGATCGAAGGAGCCTCTTATGCTTGATAAGCCTCAGTTCTCGCTATTGGCGGGGATTCTCACAGGCCGTTGAGTGATTGGTATTCACGGGGTAAGGTGAGGAACCTCCTAACTCTCCAAGTGACTCCCTTGTATGGAACAACCACTATAACCTAACCTAACACTTAAGATATGGATATTGCAGGAGTGAGATTCTTATACTTAGTGAGGCCTTGTGAGGCACGAACTCTAAGAAATATGGTATGACATAAAACCCGCCTGAAAAAAAAATTAAACAAAAATACAGCATTCCTTACTTTAAAATGCGACTGTGAATATAAATATTTATAGTTTTTCTTCTTCATTTGCTTTGCTAATTGATCTTGAATGCCAAAAACAAATTGGCTTTCAGTAATGAAAAAAGTTACAGGGATGACAGATTACTTAGATAGAAAAAATAAAAAAGTATAATGAATTGAATTCCGCGCTTTGATCATGTCAGATATTCAGATGTTTGAAACCACCAGTTGGCGTTTGTTTTGGCTAGGAAGCGTTTAGCATACCAAATATTTTATGGAGAAATCTGAATAAAAATTTTGATTAAGGGGATTGGCTATATTTCTACGAATATTACTCCTGTTTGTGCAAAAGGCAAAAGATTTAACTTGTTTTGTTTTGATGTATGTATGTATGTATGTACTCGTATGCCTAAGAAACAATCTATAAGCAGACGTAGTTAAATGATTTGAGTAATACGTATGTACATATGTACATACATACATGTCTACACACTTGTAAGCACGCTTCTAATAATGCTTATAACCATAAAAGTACAGGTGTTTGCCCATTAAAAACTGAATCACTATAGCATCACATGAGAATGTTTTTGAATGCTCACTACTCTTACATTTTGATCAAATTGAAACTAGCTAGTTAAGTCCTAAAAGCCTTTGCTAATTACGAGCACAAAATTAATTTCCTTTTTGCCTTTCAAATACCAGTCACGTTTATCGGTAAATCTTTATACAGTCATATATAGATAGAATCGTAAAAATTGAATTTTTTTTACAAAAAAAAAAGTGTGCAATTAAAATATTAGCACACGTCTAAAATGAGAGCAACTATTAGAATATTTGCCTAACACATAGCGACATATATATGTACATACATACATACAGACAGACGGATAAACAGACAGACAGTCGAATAAATACATATGTAGATGAAAACTCCATCGCATAAATCGACCGCAATCGTGACAATCGTGCAATTTGTATACAGGTACTAACCCTGTAGGGAAAAGGGGAGTAAATGAAAAATAAATTTTTATACTGAAGTTCATTCTAGATTCATAAAGGAGATTAATATGTTGAAGACTGACTACGTTTTGACTCGTTGAACCGAGGTCTCTAAGGGAAGTGCTAATAAGAAATATAACATGAATGCATTCTGAGTTTAATACCTTTTGTGACTAACCCTTAAAATGTTTTCTCTGATTAAATAAAGATTAAAAAATGTTTAAAAAATTTTGAACAGCTTGTGATCATTTAAACTTTTGCCTAGGTTAAGTCAGAAGTGAGCGCCTTACTGTCAGTTATTCCAGGAATTTAAATTAAAAATGATTTTTCACTTCCGTCAGTTTTCATAATAAATTCAAACAAAAAAAATTATTTTTTACTTAAATTGTTTAAGTGAAACTGGCTATTGGAGTATAAGAAACAGTGGACAAGCGTGACAAATCTTCCTTTGTGAATCCATTAAAAAGACCCAAAGATAAAGGTAAGAGAAAAAGAAGCAAGAGATTTGATTATATGCTATGAACCAAGAATCTACTTGTTTTCCAAGGATAATATGGTATGTATGTCTGCCATATAATGGAAGATATCGTCACTAGACACATTTCATAAGCATATTTTTTCGCAAAATTTTTTTACGCGCCGTTTTTCGCCGTCAAAACACTAGCGCGCCTTTATTCGTGTGTAGTGACGATATGCACTGCAAAGCTGAGTATATGTTGCGCTCAAAACGCAGGACCACGTGTAGACCTAATTAAATCCATCAGTTTCAGAAGCGGCAGAGTAGATTTGTTACAATCTGCTAGCCTGAAAGGTAGAAGAAAATCTAATTTACAGAAATCGCCTTTTCTCTAGAATAGCACGAAACCGAAATCTATTGGTTTCCTACGGGGTCTTCTCTATTCATACACATACAAATAGGCATAGTTACTTGATCGAGTGGTAGCACTGCGGTATTTGGCGACAATTTATCGTGGCTTTTATTATTTATTTTTCTTCTTCTAAAATAATAAATTACTATTTCGGAATTGTAACCAGACTGTGCAGATTTGGCGATGTAGCGCCAACTTGGCGATGTTTTTTTTTTTTGATATTTGCGCGTAAAAAGCTAGGAAATCGCCATTGGCGATTTTTTCCCTTCAAATAATTTTTTTTGTGCGCTATCATGTAAATGCGTCGCAACACGTGAAAAGTAGGTTGTGGAGTTAGAGCTTTAGTTTTGATGTGATAATAGGCTGACTTCCAAAACGTCAATTGATTTGCATACATACAAAGTATAATGTCCCATAACGCCGAACTACAAAATGTTGACAATGTATACTTTTCCAAAACGCATTCGAAAAGTTATCGAAACGCATCACTAGAGCAATCAGCGCATCAGAAACAAAGTTGATGTTTCGTTTGTTTTTGGTTACCATTGGTGTTTTAAAAATAGGAAATTCAGAAAAATTGTTCATTGCTAAATTGAATATTTAAAATATGCAATGTATAAGGTTGCAATGTGTCGCAACTCTGCATTTACAAACAGTTTGAATACCGCAGTCTAACAGTTTCCAAACATTGTATTGATACGTTTTTGGAAGTCAGCCATACTTTTTATTGTTAACGAATTTGGTGCATGCATATTGAACATTTGCCAATATTAAACCACCATTTATGACAACGCCCGCTGAATGTGAAATTTGGAATTTGGCTCAAATTAAAGGTCTTGAGCTGCACTTATTGTTCGAGGGATAAAAAATTGAGTGAAGGATGCACAGCTGCATGCAAATAGAAAACAAAAATATGCAATAAATAATGCATTTTTTAAATTAAGGTGTTCCAATTTTTCTTCGAATTTTAAACAGTGGAATCGTGTCGCTCGTCTCAAAATCTATAATACTAGTATAATAAAAAAATACATAAATTTTTTTTGTTTTGGAATAAATCCCGTGTATTTTGCATGTTTTTTTCGATTTTTCGACGGATTTACTTTAGCTTTCAAAACCATTTGGTTTCGTATCAAAATGCTGCTTCTGTCGAAAGCGCTACGATTAATTCACGTGCAGTGTTCAAAAAGTACACTGTGCGGCTTGTGAAAGGACAAGAGATGTATTTTAAAATGCTGTGCGCTACTTTTCAGATATGAGTTCAGCGACATAATCTATAAGAAATGGCGAATTTCATATCAGAGAGAAATTTCAATTAGCAATTAGTGTAATTGAAATTCTTAGCCAAACTCGGATTTCTCGACCGACTCGGATTTGGTAGGGGATATTTCCCCTATTCCCCTAATTTTGTCACCAGAAAAGTGTGTGAATCACAAGAGGGCGAGTTTCAAGGACCTTCCAATCCACATGCATAAATACTGACATGAGTGCAAATAAAATTTATAGAAATCAAAATTAAGAAATGCAACAGACCTGAAATGATAAAATATACATTTCACTAAAACTTAAGCAGATCTATAAAAAGTAAACATAAAATTTTTTAGCTCATATATAGCCTTACATACATATGAAACTTTCCGTTCTTGCACTTGCATTTTATTTTGTAAACTCGCCGCAGGAGTAAATCCAGAATTACATCTACTATACCCTCTTACCTTGAATCCCAAGTAGCTTGCCCGTTAATCGAACTCATTACAACTGAAGAGCCTTCGACACATTATTCCAACTTTTTTCGAAATTTGTAGGTACGTTCTTAGCGAAAATCTAACTAGCCGCAGTCCTGTCTTAACATGGTAAGAAAACTTTTTGGTTTATTTTGGAATGAATTTCCGTCCTCCCTCGCCAAGTTTGCTTTGGAGACAAACCGGCTGTGGCGTTGCGCAACTGATTTGTGTACATTTATACAGTCGTCCTATACTCGTCCAGTTTTAATTTAACATTATAGTATATGACTAGTAATTATGCCACTTCTGAATTTTGAAAAACACTTCGCTTACCAGCACTTTTTAGTTAACATCTCAATTCTTGCATTAATCTCATTTCAGCACACACTCTTAGTCACAAAATGGTTTCAATACTTAAGAAGCTAAGCGGCTTTTACAATGTCTACGTTTTGGCCGTGCTTACAGTTGGCTATATACTTGGTGAACTGGGCCATTATCTCATCGGTGTAACATCCAAACAGACCGCCATTGAATTGGATTATGGCGACAAAGCTTGCCAGCAGAATAATACAAATTTCAATCGCTTCGAGCTACCACAGCAATGTTCAGTCGTAAAAGAAGAGAATAGGTATGTAAAGCATGCGTCCACTTTTCTTTTTATATACCAATAGACTTACATAAATATTTTTCCTCTGTCATCTTACAGCTGTCTCGCATTGGCTTTAAATGATACTGCGTACTGTGAATGGAATTACAATGGCTTGGGTATTGATTATCAAATACTTGCTGGTCCCACCTTCATCTTGGTCTTCACTATTGCTGGTGTTTTCATGGGTTTCGCCGCTGATAAATATAATCGTGTCAAAATGTTAACAGTTTGTACGCTAATCTTTGCCGTTGCAATAATTTTACAAGGTACTGTGAGCGCTTACTGGCAGTTGGTGCTATTGCGTATGGTCATGGCTTTAGGGTGAGTATCGAAAATTTCATAAATAAGCATACATACCATAAACTAATGATTTGCGTTTTTTTTTGTCTGCTTCAACAGTGAGTCTGGTTGTAATCCGCTAGCCACAGGTATTATGTCGGATATATTCCCCGAAAATAAACGCGCACTTGTCATGGCCATTTTCAATTGGGGCATTTACGGTGGATACGGTATTGCCTTCCCCGTGGGTCGCTACATTACCAAATCGAATTTCTTCAATCTGGGCTGGCGTGTGTGTTATCTGGGTACTGGCGTATTAGCGGTGCTACTGGCTGCGCTAACTGGCACCACACTTAAGGAACCTGAACGCAAAGCAATTGGCGAGGGCGATCGCACCAAAGATGGCAAGAAAATTGGCTTGTGGAAAGTGCTAGCCAATCCTGCCATGATTATGTTGATGATTGCTGCTTCCATACGTCACTCCGGTGGCATGACTTTCGCCTATAACGCGGATCTATACTACAACACTTACTTCCCAGACGTGGATCTCGGTTGGTGGTTGTTTGCTGTTACTATTGGTATTGGCAGTATTGGCGTTGTTGTGGGTGGTGTTGTCTCCGATAAGATTGTGGCTAAAATGGGTATACGTTCACGCGCCCTAGTGCTAGCCTTAAGTCAGCTAATAGCAACATTGCCGGCATTTGGCTCTGTATACTACGATCCCTTATGGGCTATGATAACATTGGGCTGCAGTTATTTCTTCGCTGAGATGTGGTTCGGCATTGTATTTGCGATTGTGGTAGAAATAGTGCCGCTGCAGGTGCGCTCATCAACAATCGGCGTGTTCTTGTTTGTGATGAACAACGTTGGTGGTAATTTGCCAATTCTGCTCGACCCCATAGCCAAGATAATCGGTTTCCGAGAGGCGTTTATGATTTTCTACGCAGGCTTCTATGGCATAAGTAAGTTTAAATTGTGTATAAAGATGTATGGGCCAAGTATTAACTTATTTTATTATCTATGCCAATAGGCTCAGTGCTGTTCCTCATCACCTGCTTCTTGCTGGAGGGCAAACCAAAGGACAAAGATTCTAGCACAGCGCAAGGTGAGCAAAAGATCGATAGCCTGGAGGCACACACACGTCAAATGCGCGGTCATGACAACTCTGTATTCACCGTTGATGATACACTGCCACATAATGGACGTCCCGCGGTAATTCCACAGCATCTGCAATTATCGAGCAATGGACGCGATAAGTACGCGCCTGCAACGCGTGAAAGCAGCAGACTGTGAAGTTAGTTGCGAACCCAACGACATAGGCGAAAATGGGCCTAAGTTTTCTGATACATTCATATACATAATATGTAGATTATGATCATGATAAAAAAATAGGAAGGTAGAACCGCTGAGAGGAATTTTTCGAGTTCTTGACGTTTGCAAGCAATTTAATTTCAAAATTTTACACACAAACTCACACACACATTCTCATTTTCAATCTCAAACATCAACAAGTTTGAACAATTCCTTTTTTTACTCACAGTTTTATATGATTTTAAAATGTTGGCAAACTTCAAAAAAAAAATCATGGCCGACGAATTGAGCGAACGGTTTCACCTTACAATGTTTTTATCAAGGATTATGATGACACATTGATGAATTTTTCAAAATCTTCACGTACCTCACTAGTAGTGTATATTTTATATGCATTAAGTTTAAATCGATTGGATTATTTTTTATTGGAAATTGTGAAAAAGAAGAAACAAACAATTGCTTGAGATTGTTATAAAATATTAAAGTTTGTTAAGTGTTTTTTTTTTTATTTCACTATGTTATAAAAATACGTTAATGTTTAATTTAGTTGTAGCACCCAGAAAGTTTTCTATAGTGGAAACAAGAAGTTTCAAACTACGTAAAGGCAATTATTATTTAGTTTAATTGTTAGGAGTTAATATTAACAATTAACAGAGTATTTGTTCATATAAACTAGATGTTAATTTTTACACCAATGACACTAATAACTTAGAATAATTGCAAAAAAGTATTTTGTACATATCGAATAAAATTTGTACTTAAAATAATTTTATAAGCAATTGTTTTTTTTTTGTTTTTAATTTGAAAACGAAATGTAAAAGAGAGTTGCAGTGTGTGAATCTATCGTAAAGAAGCAGCTACAGCTGCCTTGACTAAAACCCATAGCGTGTTTAGACTTAAATACCTGCTGCTCACAACGTTAAAATAAGGTTAGAAGTCTGCAATATTCGATTTTGAACTTCTTTGGTGCCACAGTCCTTGAACAGTAGTTAAACCCCCAAGCGCGCTTTATTTGTCATAATTTTTTAGCGACACAGATCTATGTGTGGCTTGGTCTGCTGCACATAGAATCTCCACACAAACTCGATCCTTCGAGACCCCCCTCCAGTTCTTCCTCTTTAGTTTTTTCTATTCTTCTACCAGCTCGTCAGCCCATCTTGATCTTGGTCTACCCTTTGTTTTGGTGGTGAATGCCTTGACGTCTACTATTTTCGTTTGTCCTCTCAAATAGTCTATACTCAATGCGAGGCCTAACCATTTTATTCGTTTCACTTTCGTGAAACAAATTGCATATATTTTTGTCCTCTATGAGTTGGTCTAGCACGTCGTTTCACCTTATATGCCATTCACCATTGGTATCCTAAATTGCCCAAAAAAAAAAATTACGGAGAACTTTTCTCTAATTTGCAGATTTGTTTTATGCTTTTCCTTCATCGTCCAGTATTCAAATACGTAGCATAGAACATCGAGAACATTCGCTGGATTTAAGTCGGCTATACAAACTGTAAAGCACTTTTTAATGAATTAGTCACGCGTCTTAGCCAGGGTGGAACAATGGCAGAGATAGTGTTCAATGCTCTTTACATCTTCCTCGTCCCTTCAGCTGCGGAAAAAATCTTTTTCTTCTTCTTATTTGGCGCCGTAACCGCCTAAGTCTGCGTTCAAACACGGAAACTCGAGTTGCTTATTATCGAGATTTCTACTTTGGTGTTGCCCTTTGTATTCACACACAGAAACTCTTTTGTACGCAATTGTTGTTGTCAGCTGTGAACCGCTAACTTGAATTACTCAGACGAACAAGAGCACGAAGCGTGTTTCCCGAGTACAGGCGACTCGGTACCCGTCCCCTTTCCTCGTCGCTCTCTCCCCTACAAGCTTCGAGTTTCTGTAACAAAAGTTTTCGTGTCTGAACATCGACTAAGTCCCCTTTCAGACACGTCAAGTTTTGAAAGCAATTTTTTCGCATTCTCTTTTGTGTTTTCTATTTCCTTCCACACGCGTCAACTTTAATTGAATTCAAGTCCTTGGTTCTTTGAATGGGAAGCAACGAAAAGATCAAAAGAGACAAGAAACTTGAAACGAATTGACGGTACGGAGGTATCTGTACTCTTCCCCTATCTTCTCACCTCCTTCGCCTACGAACGAGCAGACTTGAAAGCAAGACTTGACGTGTCTGAAAGGGGACTAAGCGATTTTGGCCGGGTTCAACAAAGCACCCCAGTCGTTTCTTTTCTGTGCCAACTGGCGCCAATTGGAAATGCCAAGTGAAGCCAAGTCTCCACCTGGTTTTTCCATCTCAGTGGGGTCTTCATCTTCCTCTGCTACCACCAGCGGGTTCCGAGTTGAATACTTTCAGAGCTGGAGCATCGGTGTCCATTCGAACGACATGACCAAGCCAGCGGAGCCGCTGTATTTTAATTCGCTGCACTATGTCCATGTCGTTGTAAAGCTCATACAGCTCATCGTTCCATCGTCTGCGGTACTCGCCGTCGCCAACACGTAAAGACCCGTAAGTCTTCCGCAAAATCTTTCTCTCGAATACTACAAGGGCCTCCTCATGTTGTCATTGTCCATGCTTCTGCGCCATATACCAGCACGGGCATGATGAGTGACTTATAGGGTGTGGTTTTCGTACGTCGAGATATGACTTTACTCCTGAATTGCCTACTCAGTCCAAAGTAGCACTTGTTGGCAAGTGTGATTCTGCGTTAGATTTCAATGCTGGTTCCCAAGTAAACGAAATTCTCTACTTTCTCGAACCATGTGTGCCCATAAAGCAGTATCTAATCTAAGAGCGGAGAGATGTAGTCTGACAGGTGCGTTCCGGAGCCCCAACTGGAGTTTACCTCCTCGCCCAAGAAAATTTTCTATTTATATTTTGAGGAGGTTAGAGGCATGCCTATTTCCTGGGCGGAATTCACGACGGATATTTATTTCCCTTACCTCGTCAGTTTGCAGGTCATGCAGTTATCAGGGACGTCCCTGTGAGCAGACAACGAATATCGAGCGTTTCGATGACAACTGGTTGTTCCATTATATTTTAAAGGTTTCATATGAGTCTGACTGTCCGAAAATATCGTGATAGGCTGCTCTAATAGGCAGCATACACGGTGCGTCTGACTCGCCAGTCGAGTTGGATGTGTTTATGAAAATAAATAGGGGTCTTTTTTTAAAGTCGTAAAAGCCTAGTATACCTCGTAAAGCTCGCAAATTTGCGAGCCTCGTAAAAGAACTGTCAAAATTTGTATGGAGCCTATTTACGAGTCCCTCGTAAATTTTCGAGGCAAATTTGATGTGCAAACGACCTCGTAAAATTCAGTGTTGCCGAGGGGCCGAAATTTGTATACTAAAATGTATGATAAAATAATGAGAAAAATAATACGCGAATTAAATGAATGAAATGAATTTCATCCACTAACTTTATTGACTGAGGTTTTCTGCTAATTTTCGGCATTTTCAATTGTATTTTAGCCAAGAGTGATAGAGACAAGATGGCGGGCTGTTATGGCAAATACTACGCAACAAAAATTGCTTCACAAAATCCTTGTTGTCAAACAGTCCCGTTACGCACCTATTTACACCTTTTCGCAAAGTGGGCGTTCCCATGAAAGCCTCGTAAACTTAAGAGTTTTACACGGTTTAAGACTTTACGAGTTTAAGGGAATCCCTAAATATGTGTTAGTTACACCGACATGACTCTGAACGACTCAACTGTGTTTAGTCGCAAGGCGAGTCAATACGTACGTCTATGGCGCCTATAATGCAGCGTAAGGTATCAACCGCGTGAAAAACGCTGCAGTGTCAGTTTTATTATCTGCGTAGATAGCCGTAGACCCGGAGCCTAAGACCATGGCACCTTCGCATTCGTTCCTTTCTGGGACTCTTATGAAGAATTCACTGTCTAGTCAGAGGAGAGGAAAGTTTCTAGGATTTTCGCATGTCCTGATCGGAGGTCTATAGTGTGCTTTTTTTTTGTTGTCAAAACCAATTTTTCACTGCATTTGAACCAGGGACGTGAGCTTTTTTGCACCTTTGAATTGGTTCATGGAAACGGGTTTTCTTGTCTTTAGACAAGGGTTTCGGTTCGGCTCAACAATTCGAGAATTTAAAGAAAAAAATGAAGTGTTATTTTTATCCTTTTCTAAAGGTTTATACATACATACCTATTTATGAATATAAAGCTAAAATATTTTGTAATTAACAGCTATTTAAATTGTCCGCTCACTTGATAAACGGAAGCACAACAGTAACAATGTGACATATTTTCACATCCATACAAATTCCAGCTGCTTCACAGGGTGTGCCATATAAAAAGCAACAGATTGTTGAATATGAAAAAAAAAACAAATCTGTAGAGATTTCAATATACAGCTGATACAGGATATACGTACATACCATCTAGTTCTACAAATATAGAAAAAGTTCTTCAAATGTGGTTGTAAATTATTTTACGTGCCATTTTTATTAATATCACTGTCTGTTTAACACGTAGGTTGTATTACATTCATTTGAAGCTTGCTGTATTATCTATCAAAAACATGAGTCAATCTTTACATCACAGTCACAAACCTTCCCAACAAAGGGTGGTAAAAGTAAAAACCTGAATATGAATTCCTTCGACCCCTCTGGGAATTAACTCAGGTAATTTTTCATCCTGCACAACCGCGTAACTGACATTGGCTGCCAAAAATTGGATTTGCTCACACAAGCTATTGGCTCAATCCTCATCCATCCGTCCTGAAATATACTAGCCAGAAATGCGATTGCTTTATAAAAAAAGAGAACCATTTTGATGTATGAGTGTTTTTACGCTCTAGAAAATAATTTCTACAACTTCACATACGCGGTTTTGCATTTTGTTTATACGCGGTTTTGCACTTTAAATGACGATATGTATGTTTATGCAAAAAATTAGCATATCTACATATACATACATCTAGCAGAATAACTTCGCATTCACCTACTCTTATTTAAAAATTAGCGAAAAATATTTTACCTAAAAAACATTGTGAATATATAAAAAAGACGCAGACTTGTCCTACTAGGTGTATCTATGTACATACCCTACAAGACAGCTG